CCTATATCGTATTTCTAGTCTACCATATTATTTCCGAGGTTGGCATTCCTAAGCAAATGTGCTATCGGTTGCCACGACAACCTTCTGGTTGCGCTGCCCCGTCCGTCGGTGCGGTCTGATGATTTCTGATTGCCGAAGTAGACCACGGATCCACAGCGCGATCCGACACGGCGAGAGGAATTTACCTGTGTTACAATCACGTGCCCGTCAGGAAAAAACCAGGCATTTAAATTCCATCGAATTTCCAGAATTCTGGTATTCTGGAACGCTACCCTGGTACTATATTATATGCCGTGACCGTACCTAGCCTACTCCACTAACGAGTCTAGGGAGCTGCCGTACGCCTCACTCCGCTAACCGCGAACCCGAACCCTAAAACCTAACCCTAAACCCTAACCCTACACATGATCAAATAGTGACCAGGATACTTCTGGTATAGCCGGACCGTAACCCGAGGGGTACGTTCCGGCAAGTAAACCCTGGGGGACATAGAACCCTATGGAGCGCTTGGTGACATAACCTCTCGCCGAAGTGTATGCAATTTCGATGATTGATGGCACTCGATCCTCACTCACTCTTGCCGTCATTCGTCTCTGTCCTGCTGAGGTGCTTAGTGTGTGTGTTTCCTCTCCACGGAGCTCAGCTGTCCTGTCGCGTAGTTTGGCAGTCAGTCGTACAGCTAGTAAGTCGTTTAATTACTGCACGTTTGAGCTTTGCAACCTCCGCTGCTAGGCCAAGCGCTGAAAGGGAAAGGTACGCGCAAATCACAAGGTCCAGGGACGCGTTATAACACGCGAGAAAAAACACTTTTAATCACTTATTCGTAGTGATTAGTGCGTCACACTGAGCGAGCTTGACGTTTGAGCAAGATGTCTATATTCGGACATGTCTATAGCCACTTGGATTTAAATGAAAATTTGCTTCAACTTGAAAAAAACACCGACACAACGGCCAATCTTTTATTCAGTCCTGATACCGACATGACAGAACGATTTCTCATCTTGTAAACATCTTCGAACCTGTGAGTCAACCGTTCACGAGTTAGCTGACGATCGGTTCTGACGCAGTAGACAGTAATCGGTTGAAAGCAGTAAAGTAATCAGTAAAAAAAGGTAGGACCCCGGTACCTAACCCTGACCATAACCCTGAACCTAAACACTAACCCTTACCATAACCCTGAACCTAACACTAACCCTAACCCCTAACCTGACCATAACCCTGCCATGAAACCGTAACCCTCACCCTAACCCTGCCATAACTCTGAACTTAACACTAATACTAACCCTAACCCTGAACCTAACACTAACCCTTAAAACCATACCCTAACGCCTGTGACCATAACCCTGAACCTTAACCCTGAACCTAACCCTAACCTCAAGCCCAACCCTAACCCTAACCCTATCCATAACCTCAACCCTAACCCTAACCTCGTTGCTCACACCCCTTTCTTCAAATAACGGATCCGCTCTTGATTCATATTAGCAGGAGTAGATAATAGGTATCTACTCCTGATATTAGGTATAATTATCGTAATGTAGCTGCATGGAAGTAAACGTGTACCTTATATGGCTGGAAAAACATAGATGCGGTATGTCTAGGAAGTATTAGGTTTGAGGAATTGACATTTCTGCTAGCCTCCCCCCCCCAGCGAACAAAGCAGACAGAAATACAACATTATAAATATTACCTATTATTATTACCTATAGATATTATTAAACACTAATGATAATGCAGGACTTGACGCCGCACATGTGCCCAGTACTATTAAACACGACAAAAAGTACGAATACGAATACGGATCAGAGATGGAAATATAATATATTATAATTATATTATTTATATCATTATTGTATTACTTTATCAAATGACCGAAATTCCGGACTTGAGTGTGCGTGCACTGAAGAATCATAAAGTTAGGGCTGATCCATCAGCCACTATTAGCAATTGTAATTTCATCTTTTTCAGCGTTCCGGAGGATTGATGAAGCGGTCTCTAAAGCATTGTGAAAAAATACTGTCACCCGAGAGCATCAAATACTGACCCGGGGAAGCTGCACATGGAAAAATATTATCCGCTGCTGGTTTGTAGTGTTTCTATGTTATAACTTCTTCCATGCCAGCAGGCAGTCTATCTATCTCTTCTCTCTCGCTATATAATAAGTATATATATGATATAGGCCTATATATATATATATAATATATATATATAATAGTATATATAACCAAGAGCTAATAAATTACATACTTATTATTATTAGCTTCTTGATAAATATATCATAATATATATATATATATTATTATATATATATACTTTCTCTCTCTATCTATCTATCTATCTATCAATATATATATAATATTATATATATAGTATATATATAGGGCCTATATCAATATATATCACTATATATAATATAATATATATATAGAGAGAGAGAGAGAGAGAGAGAGGATGAGAGAGAGGAGAGATAGAAAGATACTCTATCAATAGTTTATATATATATAATATATATATATATATATATGTGGTTGTCGTGCTGTCCTGGTGTGTAGTGTTGTTGTGCTGTGGATTGTGTGTGTGTGTGTGTGTGTGTGTGTGTGTGTGTGTGCGTGCGTGCGTGTGTATGTGTGTGTGTGTGGATCGCCTCCTGCGTGTGTGGTGTGTGTTGTGTACTTGTGTGTGTGTTGGTGTTGTGGTGTGTGATACAGGTGTGTGTGCGAGGGGTGTGTGTGTGTGTGGTTGTGTGTGGTGTGTGTGTGATGTGGTGTGTGTGGGACTTGTGGTGTGGGCCGTTGTGTGTGGGGTGAGGGCTGTGTGTGTGGTGTGTGTGTGTTTGATTTGTTTGTGTCGTGCCGTATGTGTGTATTTAGACATAGTCTGAAAATGACGTGAATATTTGTCGATGTCAACTCAGTAACCATATGACAGTGATATGACATTATGGCAGTATAGCGTGTGCTGTCAGCTGGAAGGACGTGGTCACTCGTGGACGGCGGCGCGGTTCAGATCCCCGCTGTTTTACCTCCCGCCTGGCGTCTGCCACCACCGACGAAGCTGACCCCGTCGAGCTTCCTTCCTGATGGACGGCGACGTTGCGAGTAGTGAAGACCAGACATTTCCACCCCGTGGCCAACGTTGTAGACCCGCTATGACCGCCTGCGAGAAAAGAGAGATTGCACCACAACTGCAGGACCAGTGGGCCAGTTACAACCGCTTTATTTCTGTGCCCATGCGTTTACGGGTGTGGTAGCGTTAGAGGGTAGCGTTCGGCGTAGCGTTTTAGGGTAGCGATAGGTTTAGCTTTAGAGTAGGCGTTAGGGGAGCGTTCGGGGTAAGCGATAGGGGTAGCAATAGGGGGTTACGATAGGGGTAGCGTTAGGGGTAGGCGTTTAGGGGGTAGGCGTTAGGGGTAGCGCTATGGGTTAGCGTTTAGGGGTTATAGCGTTACGGTTAGGGTTAGGCTTAGGGTTAGGTGGGAATCGGGGTGCGTTCTGGAATCGGTCTCGGTCGTTTTTTTTTGGTTTGGTTCGCCAAACCTTTTAAATGAGTTTATTTTTCAACAAGATTTCTTCATAAGAGAGATATTATTTCGGAACAAAATTTTTAATTGTCCGGACCGCTTCTACTAGAACGTAATAAACTGTGGCAGGCGCGTCGCGTCCTGAAAAATAAATCGGCCGAAAAAACACATCGCTTAGCGCGCAGGACAAGAATTACAATAGATGTAACATTAGCATGTACATAGATGTACACCGGCTCTCATAGAACTTATTTCAAAAACCTCTACGTGAGGTTAAATATGAAGATACGCGTGCCACGTCGTAAAGAGAGAGAGAGAAGAGACGCGAGGAAAGTTGTTGAGAGAAAAGGCAGAGAGACAAGACAGAAACACGAGAGCGAGAAGAAACAAGAGAGAGGAGAGAGAGAAGAGAGAAGAGAAAGAGAGAGATCTGGAGAGAGAAAAGAGAGAAGAGAGAAGAACGAGGAGATGATAGAGCAGAAGAAGCGAGAGAAGAAGGACACGAAAACCGTAAGAGAGAGAGAGCGAAGAGAGAAGAGGGAGAGAGAAGAGAGAGAGAGAGAGAGAAAAGAGAGAGAGAGAATGTAGAGCCGCAAAAGAAGAGAGAGATGAAGAGAGACAGAGAGAGAGAAAGAAGACACGGGAATCTGATAAAATAAGTACCTGAGAGAAGCCCTCCTCGTAGACCACAACATCTTGGTTCGTACTGATGGTGAGAGCAGACCTGGCGTCCACTGCCTGCACTACGTCATCGCGCAAGCCAGAGATTCCTCCAGCAGTACCTGCAGCAAATACATATCATATTCATTGTAAAGCAGGGTGGTATTTAACGTTAAGACGAAGTTAGATTAAAGACTAAGTTGCCCAATCTAAACACAGATTTGGTGGTTTCTCTGTCTTCTCGATTTCAAATTCAATCATTGGGCCACTCTAGAATATGTCAAACAAGGATGGCCATTAGATGAACTTTGGTGCTATATCATAGCGAACATTGCGATTTGACCTCCGAGGTCATCTGAACGTCGCAGGAGGAAAAATGATGAAAAAATTCATGCTCTGCAGGCAGCAGTGGTAAATCAACGCACCCATTCCAGGCAGCAGAAAATAAAACCGGCCCATGCAGAATAAACGGGATTCACTTTTTGCACTGACTTGCATGACTGTACAATGCGCGTAACATTGATCCTACTATAACATGCAAATTATATGTTAGATTCGCATGTCATTGTACGTAACAACATATCACCTCTTGCACCGAAACTTGATACAGAGTGTGCCAAACTATAACACATTAGACTCATAGAGGGTGATAGATAGATATATAGATAGATAGATAGATAGATATGATTAGATAGATAGATAGATACGGTAGATGCATAGATACGATAGATAGATAGATAGAATAGATAGATAGATAGATAGATAGATAGATAGATAGATAGAATAGATAGATAGATTAGATAGATACGATAGATAGGTAGATAGGTAAGATAGATAGATAGATAGCATAGATAGATAGATAGATAGATAAGATAGATAGATAGATAGATGGGTAGATATCCATTCCCAATACTCGCTCAATTCTCAGCCATCTATCAGGCTGTCGGCGCTTCCCTTGACATGCTGTTGTTATCATGAACAGTGACTGCTTCTGCAGGGTAGAATTCTCCGTTCGTACACAGTGACCAAGCCATTCGATGTAAATCCGCTCTTGATAGACTTTCAGTGATTTGGCTCCCGTTAGTCAGTAGATATCTGCATTGGGGTAGATGAATGCATAGTCGGCATCAGAGAAACCCGGAGGTTGGCGCCGTTTGAAGCCTCTGCGCACTGTTTTATGGAGGAGTCTCACCTATTCAACCTCCAGTTCGGCCATGACGCCAGCGTTCAAGTCCCATGTTGCCGAGTTATACATCAACCGTGATCTTATGAAGGCGGCCATATATTTCCCTCTTCAGCTTCACTCAATGGTCTGTGAGCACCTGCTTAAACTCTGCGAACTTTGCAACAGCTGACGCGATATGGTGATGAACAAACTTTTTGGAATCGAGAGAGCAAAACAGGACGCCAAGATACTTGAACTCAGTAGTGTTAACGATGTTATGGTCATCGAGCTTGACCAGAGTTGTAGCTGTTGTGTCATCGGTGTTACCATTAAAGACCGTCGTCTCTGTCTTCTTGTGACTTAGCGTGAGACCATACCTTGTAAACACTCTCTCCGTAATAATCAAACCTCGCTGTAGAGCCTCTTTCGTACGAAAAAAGTGGACCATGTCATCAGCATAGAGGATGTTATAGCATGTTGTTGTTAAGATTAGGGGTGGGGTGAGTTAGGAACGAATTAGTGTTAGGATAGATTGAGGTACCGTAAGAATTAGGGTTAGATTAGGGAGGGGGTCTGGGTTAGAGTTAGGGTTAGGGTTAGGTTCAGCTTAGGGTTAGGTTAGGGTTAGATTAGGATCAGGTTAGGGTTAGGGTTAGGTTAGGGTCATGTTAGGGTTAGGGGCAAGGTTGGGGCTAGGGTTAGGTATAGGTTGGGTTAGGGTTAAGTTGGGGTAGGTTGCATGAGTTAGAGTCAGTTAGTTATGGTACTGTTAGGTAACGTGTTGGGTTAGCGTTGAGTAGTTCAGTTAGTGTTAGATAAAACACTTAGGCAAGCGGTAGGGCTAGTGTCTGGACAAATCCGAGTACAATCTCAGCCTCTAGCTCTTACGTAGGCAACAGCTGTTGGTATACGCTTTCCCCCGGCGCCACCAATAACCATCTCCACATCTCCATCCTTCCCCACTAAAATACAAGGTGACATTGACGATAGGGGGCGCTTTCCCGCCTCTATGTAATTGGCGGAGGGGGCCGGCGTGGTGGCGCCACTGTTGTCCGGCGTTGCGAAGTCTCCCATCTCGTTGTTGTAGACAATGTCGAGCGATTCGGATCTGACTTGTGCACCCCAGCTGTCGAGAAATGCACGTTAGGATATTGTTAGGTGGGTGCCTTCACGTATTCACCACCCTTACCTTCCTTAAACTTTACCACCCTTACCTTCCTTAAACACACACTACCTACCAAATGTATACAGAATTGTTAAATTAAATCGTCACACCGCTCCTCGCTCCCCGTCCACGTGCCACGCAACCGTATCCTTACGCCAATTTAAAAAATGATTTTTGTGTCATGCATATTCATGTCTGCTGTCTATGGGCTCCCTCTACTGTTGAATGCCACCTGAACGCAAATACTTACAATACTTACAAATACATGCGATGTAAATCTTATGATATACTAGTACCATATATATACTCTAGCACCGTCGAGTTTTCGTTCTCTAAATATGGAACAGACATATCAGCAACGCTCTCTCTCTCTCTCTCTCTCTCTCTCTCTCTCTCTCTCTCTTCCTCTCTCTCTCTCTCTCTCGTCTCTCTCTCTCTCTCGTTCTCATCTCGTCTCTCTCTCTCTCTCTCTCTCTCTCTCTCTCGCTTCTCTCTTCTCTCTCTCTTCGCGTATCGTCTTGCCTCTCCTTCTCGCTCTCTCTCTCTCTCCCTCTTCTCTCGTTCCTCTCTCTCTCTCTCTCGTTCTCTCTCTCTTTCTCTCCTATCTCTCTCTCTCTCTTCTTTTCTTCTCTTCTCTCTCCTCCCCTCTCTCTCACTCTCCCTCTGTCCTCTCTCTCCTCTCTTTCTTTCTGTATCTGAAACGTCAAGCGTTGCTAATCAAGAGCGTATAAGATACCGTTCTTAATACCTCTTGATATAATCCTATAAATAAATTAAACCAACAAAAAACCAAAGAATATAATAACTAGGTTAACTACGTCCACCAAAATACACAAGTTCAAACACGAGCTGCATTAAAACGAAACGAGAACGAAAAGAACTAAAAAACCAACAAAGAAACAAAATTTAGAAAAAAATATATTAAAATGACATAAACCACGAATCAAGTCGAGCGTTGATTCGATTCGTCTGTGGCACCTAACAGTAGTTATAGTGCTTGTCAGCGCTACGGCGTCCCGTACACGCGCCAGCAACGGAGATTTGAGAGGTGCCGTGGTTGTCTGAGTCAGCGTGCGCGCAGCGTGGTAGTCGGCTCGGGTAGAACTCGTCGTCCGTTATCCGCGACGCGACGTCATGCGTACGTAGGGCTGCCGCGTCATTTGTCGTGACGTGCTGCGAACGATACAGGAACAGGTCAACCCTTTGGTCCACTGCAACGCCGACCGGACCAGGCGACGTGAAACTCAGACCGGTAACGAAGGAAACTTCGAACCCCTATCGCTACATATATAATAGACAAAGTATACAGACACTGAAGTACGACAATTGTAAGCACCCTGCCCTTAAAGGATTAAGTCTAACCCCCGTTCGTCGTGTTGGGTTCCTGAAAACAGTCGGATTGTAATGAAAAGACGTATAAATGAAGCGCTCTGCCATTTGACTCTTATATATATATTATTAAAAAATTATAATGCACTACTTACGCCCTAGAGTTCGCAAATATAAACTTTAATCAATTAAATAATGATCAAACATCTATATGTTAGAGTAAGCAGTGTTTAACATTTTACTCGTACATAGACTATCTTCTGATAAGACACTCCCGATTACTCGTACAGTGGTTTTATTTCTAAACGAGTTTTACTAACGAAAACAGCGTTGAATGATAATGCGTTAATCGGATTAAGGATTAATTCAATAGTTCTAATTTATGCACTACTTAAAAAGATAATAACGTCGTGTTTCGAAGGGCGAAATCTACGCGACAGAGCGTTAGTGCTGGCCAAGTTTAACACGAGATGACCACCATCTATCGCGCGACACTAGTCCTAGATAATTCTACTCGCAAGTCTCAGACAGCTCCCCATTGGATCGACCATCGCTCACACCATCTTCGATTTTGAATTACGACAATGATGATGTATTAATAGACAGCTGACAACACAAACACATCTTCCCAGAACGGTCAGTCAGTCTGAATGACAGTCATTCAACGAGGGACGCGTGCATGTGGCGACGCATTGCATTGATCACGAGAGAAAATTAAGCTGGACCCTGTAAAAATGATTTGAATCGTATTGGGGCCATATTTTCAATGTGAGGTTATTTGAGACAGCAGAGAGACAGAGAGACGAGAGAGAGAGAGAGATGAGAGAAGAGAGAGAGAGAGAGAGAGAGAAGAGAGAGAGAGAAAGAGAGAGAGAGAGAGAGAGAGAGAGAGAGAGAG